CACCACCAGCACCGCTCATCGGAGCCACGTAGGGTCTGGCCTCCGGAATATTTTGTGGACCCCCACCGTGAAACGGTGGTGGTTCAACCCGAGTGTTAGCGGCAGTGCTGGTCTCGCCAAGATTAACTCGCGGAGTTGGTGGGTTCATCACCGGTGTCGGCGAAGCTCCTTGTCTTGGCGGACTAATTCGAGCATTGTTGTTTGGAAAACCAGTTTAGCTGTTTAAATTGTTTTCACCGTTGAGCGGCAAATCCCTAGGTTGCATTACTGGTCTAGCCAAAAGCTCCCTAATTTCATTCATATCACGTAGATTTTTATCCACGAAAACATCAAAATCATGTCTGTTTTTAGTCAAAACGTTGATTTACCTCGCCTTTGAAGCTTGCAAACTCGCCTTTGAAGCCTGCGAACTCATTGCTGAGGCTAGCAAACATGCGACGGTTTTCCTCCATGAAATGGCGGATTGACAAATCCTCAGTCGGCCCAGCTGTGGACGGCGGATTCTCGGACCCGCCGATGTCTTCAGCAACGATTCCTTGGCCTCCTTCAATGTTGGCCACATGTTCCTCCACGAATCCGGGCGGAACATCCCCTTCTTGATTCCTTCGTCGCGGAGCCATTCGAACACACGTGTCCCACCAGGTGTGCCAATTTGTTTCGTTGGCGAAACTCACGTGTTCGATGCGCACTGTTTTCAAGTAAAACACAAACACAAGGTAAACACAACCGTCAAATATCCGTCGCCGAAGTCGGCGCCGTTGATTTGATCGATTAAAATAGAAACCAAAACGACCGTCAAATATCCATCGCCGACGTCGGCAATGTTGATTTGAGTATACCTTTGACTTCTAATCAAACAACCGTTATTCGGTTCATCACCTCTCCAAAATACGTTCGAACGAGGGTGTTCGGCGAATAACTAGAAAATCGAACCAGGAGTGTTCTAAGTTACGTTACCTCTACTCCTATGGAGGTTCCTCTGGAGAGCTCTGCAACTACGACTACGATCTACAACTACTATGACTCTGCAAAGGAGGTCTTTGATAGAGAAGTTCTACGAACTAGAGAGAAAAAGATAAATTCTGCGATGGTGCAGTTGTGATTTCATTTTTCCGCCTCGAGCTTCTCTCTCTTCCCGATCTTTATACCCCGCTCTTCTCCCGTAGTCGTAGTAATTTCCTTCGCGCCTTTGTCTCCCACGTCTTCACTCCTGTCAACCGTGCAGGTAACTTCCTCCTTGTTGCGTGATAATCACGTGCCCTCAAAACCGCTCTTGCTTTGCAGAAACTCGGCGAAACGACCTACAACCTTGTGCATGTAACGATGTCGTTTCACCAACACCACGACATCGCCTTTCACCAACCGGTGTCGTTTTATAATCCAACTCAACTGCCCGACCCGGTTTAACCAACGACATTGTTAGTCCATCAAACAACGTCGTTCTCTACTCTTGCGCCATCGTTGGGCTTGGCGGGCTGCTTTTGGCCGAACTCTTACCACTACCACGATGTCGTTTTACTTTTCCGCGGCATCGCTTTTCATTAAACGACACCGTCTAAAATAATAATAAAATACTAATTAATTAAACCAGCCCTCATTGTTAACTCGCCGTCAAACTCTCACCCCTCGGCGTCGTTCTTAGTTAAACAACATCGTTTCCTTGTCCCGCGACGTCGTTTAACTTTTGAGCTTCGCGACACTGTTTTAATTTTAACAATGTCGTTTTAACTGTTGCGGCATCGTTTTTAAATCCGCGGTGTCATTTCTTTCTTCTTGCGGCATCTTTTTCAACTAAACGACACCGTCCTAAACAGCCATTAAAATATTAATTAATTAATCCGTCCATCACTAGCTATGGCCAACGACATCACTAGCGCCACAACAAATCCGTTTGTTTTTCCCTTTTGCGACATTGTTTGTTATTTTAAACACTGTCGTTTGCTAGTCCGCGGCACCGTTAGGCTTACTCGCGGTACCGTTTTGAATTAAACGACATCGCTGATATAGCCAAAAAATATTAATCCATGAAACAGCCGTATTCGGCGCTCGCATTGGGCTGGGTGAATTTTGGTCACTTGCCCGATATGATTTTTAATTAATCGGTACCGCTTACTAGGCTCTCGCGGCATCGTTTTTAAATCCGCGGTACCGTTTTAACTCTCCGCGATACCGCTTATCTCCATGCGGTACCGATTTTCCCCTTCCAACAAGGAATAAACAATAATAATAATAATAATCAAAACTCCTTTTCCAACATCAATACCAAACGCGCGGCCCACATCCTGTTTTCTGGTAAACAGTGTCGTTTCCAGTGCCGCGATACCGGTGAGCTTCCTTGCGGTACCGTTTTAACTCTCCGCGGTGCCGCTTGTCTCCATGCGGTGCCGCTTCTCCCCTTCCCACAAGGAATAAATCATAATAATAATAATAATAATAATAATAATAATAATAACTCCTTTTCCAACACCAATACTACACGCGCGGCCCACATCTTGTTTTCTGGTAAACAGTGTCGTTTCCAGTGCCTCGATACCGGTGAGCTTCCTTGCGGTACCGTTTTCTTGTTTCGCGGTATCGTTTTAACTTCCCGCGATACCGCTCGACTCCAAACGACACCGTTTTTTCTTTTTTTACCGCGGTATCGAATTAAATGCCGAGACTAATTAATGCGGCATTTAATTCCTGCCAAATTAATTTTAGGTGTCAACACCATCTAATAAGGAATCTCTTGGCTGAAAAATGGTTTATTACCAGAAAATTGTAAGCACCGTGATGCAAAATACACTATATACAGTTAGTTATCAAGAACTATACAATCACGAGGTATTGACTTTGCATACGGTTCTGATAATGTGACCAAGATGACCTTGGTTTGATATATTTTAACTTCAATGCTCATACTTGAAAATTCCATTTACATAAGCTTGATGGAGATATTAGTATAGTTAGTAAATACTCCGTTTAATACGCGTACATGTACCCGTATGCATTTTATCCATTTCCGTTTAAAACTTGCATTTCTGTATTATTGTCAAGCCGTTTCATTTCTTTCCCTTCATTTGATGTCTCCCGTACTAAACACGTATAAAACCCGTATAACAAGTTTAATATCTGTATTTAATGAATTAAATTGTTAACTTTACTATTGTTTATATATTTATATTATTTTTAAAATAATTAATTTTATATATTTATGATTATTAGCATACTATTAAACGTAACATTAGATTAAATATGAAGTAAAATACATGTACATATTTTATACGTAACATTCCCGTACCGTATTTTACTAACTATATTTCTTTCTTGCTTCAAGATCCCAATGACAATGAGAAAATCGCATAAAACCACCATATGAAAATTCACTTACTAGGGAACCTAACCATCATCGACATGCCTTGATCCAAATTTGGGACCATAAATTTTTTGTGAATCTTTATGTTAATGATGATATTACTAGAACTCAAAACTATTAACTAGGAATGGCAACGGGTCATGAAGAGGGCGGATAGTGCTAAATCCGTGCACTGCTCTGTCCTCAAATTCTTGATCCGATCTGCCCCGCCACGGGTCGACAATTTTTGCCCCAAACATTATCCGGCGCGAGACAGATAAAATCCGACCTGCTCCACTCTATTGCTTGAAACCATTCTTCGTCTCCTTCTGGCCTTTATTTTAAGTGCACCTCACGATCACTAAATATGGTGGCAGAGCAAAAACGATGGCGACAGAGATTTCCTAGGGTAGAGCTCCAACTGCGACAATAACGGGAGTTTCAGAGTTGATCTATTTGAGGATGCCGATATGGAGGAACTCGTCTAGGGAGAAGCGGGGCCACCAACGGCAGCGGCTGCCAGCGGTGTTGGTGGAGGAATTGTGGTGCTTATCGGATGTGAGTGAGTTGAATCTAGTGAAAAGGCAATGGAAACTAGAAAGGAGGGTTGCAGTGAAGATGGAAGAGGAAGAGGAAGAGGTCGGGGAAAGGGCGAAGTTCGTTTGGCTCTATTCGGTGTGGGGAATTGAGAGGAATGATGGGTGTTTTGGAGAGTAGAGATACACTTTACTTAATTAACTATTCGTTTATATTTTCTAGGTTCATTGTCTCTGTCTTTGTGCTTGTAATTAATTAAAAGAATTGAGTTGGAAAGCTTGGGAAAGCTTGGGATACATTATATGTACGTATGTGAAACAGAGTAAGGCGGGGCGGGGCGGATACAGGGCGGGGTAGTAGCGATATTCATGTCCGCTCCGTTCAAGTCACGGGTCGGGGCATGACGGGTCGGATAAAATCCGCTCCAATACGGACCAGATCGGATAAAATCCACCGGATCAGATCTATTTTGCCATCCCTACTATTAACAATTCTTACTGATTTTCTTTTATTGTTGAACACCCTTGATAAAATAAAATAAAAATTGGATCTGCGATTATTTATGACTTTGTTTTACTTTTCTCTTATTATATATTTATGTCATCACTCATTCTATAGGTAGTACGTAACATCTTGTGTATAACCTATTTTCACAATACACATTATTAATAAAACAAAAAAAAAATCTAATCTTGTTGAACCCTTACGAGCCACTCATCTAAATCGTCCCTATTTGATTGTTAACATCTCAAAATTTTACTTGTATGCTGAAACTTTCCGATATAATTAGGTATGGTTGATTTGTACCCTAACCAGCTTATCAACTAACATTTGGATAGAAATCTTGTTTATTGGATTACTCTTACATCAATTGTAAATACACAAAAAAAAAATGTTAATTGGATTAGACTTACTGACTTACTTCAACTGTAAATGTCATCAAAGAAAGGTTAATTCTCAAGTATCTCACACTGTGAACTAGTTTTTGAACTGAGAAGCCAATAACACAAGAACAGATTTCAAGTATAGAAGGCGATGGGACTTTGGACTGCCGAATGGGCTTCAGCTGAAGTAGACTCAACTTGGGCCTGGTATTCACCGGGCTGGGCTGACTGAACATGGCCCAATATCACCAGTAACTCGGACTCTGCGCCGGCGCCGGCGGACAAGCAATTGGCAGGGGATGTCCGCACAATCCAGCATTACCCTGAAAGCAAGATTCAGGAAACCCGCCGTACGCATCAGGAATTCTCCCGACGAAATCGTTGTTCGACACATCGAATTCCAACAGCTTGTTCACACTGAATAGCGGGATTTCCCCAGTAAGCCGATTGTTCTGCGCCTTGAAAGACACCAAGCTCGAAATCCACGTCAGCTCCGTCGGAATCCTGCCGGCGAAGAAATTACCCGAAATGTCGACCCGACCCAGGTTCCCCAACATGGAAATCGAACTCGGGACCCGACCCGTGAACCGGTTCCCGGCGAGGTACAAATCCGTCAGGGTTTTACATTCCCCAATCTCAGGCGGCAGCAGTGAGAAGATCCCGTTGTTTCGAAGATCGAGGACGTAGAGAGACGGCGGCGGCGCCAGGTGGCAGAGCGACGCGGCGTCGAATCGTCCCGTGAAATTGTAGCCGTTGAGGATGATTCCGGTGACGGATCGGGTTTCCGGGTGGCAGAAGACTCCGGTCCAAGTGCACGGGTCGGATCCGGGGCTCCACCCCCAGTTCTGGATCGGCGGCGGAGTTCTTTCCGACAGGGTTTCCATGAACCTGACAAGGGATTGCGTCACTTCTGGTGATTCTTCTGAAGTTGAGGAGATCATGAGGGTGGCTGAAATTAGGAGGACCCAAATGGGAATTATTCTCGCCATTTCTGTTTTGTTTTTTGTTTTTTTTTGTTTTTTGTTTTTGCAGGATTGATTGTTCAATCGGAGTTCTCGTTGTTGGTTTTTATTGTTTTTTGGTGGCGAAGATGGAAGGAAGTTTGGACTGAAAGTTCAATGGCATAGTGAAGTCATTGTATCCTTTGATGTATCCTTACAATGAAATTGATGTTAATTAACACAATGCCTTGATTACAAATCTTGTATTTTGTACCATTATTCTACAAACAAATGGCAACTTACACAAATTAGTTTTGTATCGAAATTCATCGTGTGTTTGAAGTTCTTTATTTAATGTTGGGTTAGAGTGGTCCTTGGATTGCTAGCTACATGTGATATTGTTTTATTTGTTTATTTGTGAAGATAGAAGAAGTTTGGACTGAAACTTCAATGAGATAGTGAAGTGAAGCCATTGTACCTTGAAGTTGATGTTGATCAACACAATTTCACGATAGCAAATCTCATACTTAATATGATTTGTGATCTCAAATTTACACAAATTATATATGTAAAATAGTGTATCATTACATAAAGCAATTACTTTTATATGGAAAGTCTGAGTTCTTAGAGTATTTTATTTTGGTTAGAATCAAGCAACTGATCCTAGGATTGCTAGCAATGTGTGCGATCTTGTTTTACTCCTTGCAAATCTCATTGGGTAAAAGTTATATGCTTCTTCATTCGAAAATATTTTGCTTTCGTGAATTGGGTGTTCGACTCTACTCTTAATGTAAGAAACTAGGAAAGTGAAAATGAATCTGTTATCACAATACACATTGTTCATAAAAGAAGAAAAAAAGCTAATTGTGTTCCAACTCAATGAGTCACGCTTTGAACTAGTTTTCAAAAAAGGTTAATTCTCAAGTATCTCGCCCTTTGAACTGAGCTGAGAAGTCAACAACACAGAAACAGATATCAAGTATAGAAGGTAAGTAGAAAATACTCAACAAGGTAAAAAGTAAAAACACTGAGTACGAAGAAGGTAAAAAGAGCTCTACTAACATCAGGATCTGTATTCTCTGATCCCTTGCAAAATTTACAGAGCAGAAAAGGGAGCTTTTTTTATGATTTTTCACTTTCATACTGATGAGATTCTCAATCTGCAGCCTTCTGAATCTGAACTTTGGTTTTGAAGACCAAGATGTAGAGCTTCTCCATGGAGAAGTAGAGGAAACAGCTGGTTGAATGTGTAACAAATGACCCAAAACTGGAGCCCACAATGCAATGCCAGGCAGGCCCATACACCTTGTCAAACTCCTGCAGCCACATTCCCAACATTATAATGCATGTCAGCCCATTATCATTATTATATAATAATAATTTTTACCCATACTAAAAAAGAAACATAAAATGGAAATTCAAATTTCAAACCAGCCAGCTAAAAGGGTTGCAAGATTTTGTCAACCATAGTATTATTTTTGGGTGGATGTAATTGCTTCAGAAATCACATGATAGACTGAAATTTTGACCATATTTTAATGGTACTGTGACCACATGGCTACTAGCTAGCTAGCTACTTTGATTACAGGTAGAGATTTAGAATACTAATTATGATCAAGTGATTGATTAGCCTTGTCATTTGTTAATTAGTGGTCCTTGATCTTGGATTCTTTTCTTTTGGGTTTCTGTTATGGCTGTTAGGGTTCCCACATGGGTTGTTGGATCACTGATCCAAATCATTCTCTGATTCATTCCATGACCCGAAAAAATGGAAATGGGTGCTGAATTTAGGAACTGAATTCTGCAGGGGTAGATTCAAGGGAAGATGTAGCAAAGTAGAAATCACGATTAACTTGCAGAAAAAATGGGTGGGACGAATAGTCTTGTCGATATTCATATACATTCAGAAGCGTTTTTTCGTTGTGTTAGATAAAACACAAAGAAAAATGTAGTAATAAGTTGGGAAATTGCAACTCAGATTAAAGAGCATTAGTCCCTTCATCTAAGCACGTCTAAAACACTCTATCATCTAGTCCGAAGGGAGGCATCATTTCAATCATTGAATGCTGAAAGGTGTGAAATCACTAGACCCGCCACAATTCAACCATCTAGTCCGAAGGGAGGCATCATTTCAATCATTGAATGCTGAAAGGTGTGAAATCACTAGACCCGCCACAATTCAACGACTGAAATCGTCTATCCATCCGAATCGCAGAATTTGGGTTCTCTTAAAACAGAAATCAGCCAGAAGAAGGATATGAAGGAAGTAAGTTTCCCCCAATTTGTACCTTTTTTAGGTTGTAAGCCATATGCTTGGAGCTGAACTTCTCCAAGCTATCAAAAGTCCTCCGGGCGCACCTGAAGGCATGAACCTGCATGAAACCAGGCATGTCCGTCACCAGAACCTTCACCTGAAGAAACTCCGCCACCGATCCCAAGTTGTTCTCCACATGAGAAACCGACTTCCTTCCCCTCTCCACCACCGCTCCGCCGCCGTCAAACCCTCGCCTGGCCGCCACCGGAATCACAGTCTCCTGACAGGTTCTCACCACAGTTTCTTCCACCTCATAACTGCAGCCACCGCCACCTGCCCTTATCGAAAGTGGACTGTTCAGCACTGCCCTTATACTCGGCGGCGCCGCCATAACCACTGGTTCTTGATGATCAGCTGCCTGCTGCTGCTTTTTGGCCAGTGTATTGCTGCTCCAAGACCCGAACTTGTAGAACCTGAAGAACCCTTTTCTCCTCTGTTTTTCCTGAGTAGCCATTTTTGCTGCCTCTCACTGGACACAGGTTTCAGTTTTGAGTCAAAAGGTAGGATTTGTATGTGTGTGTAGAATAGAACAAAGGGGAAAAGTTGGAAGAGTATGAAATGAATTGAGACTGTTGGAGAAAGAAACTGATTAAATACCCAACAAACCATGTGGGTTGTTTTGTGTATTTTAATTTTGGCAATATTACTCTGTTTTGTGTTTCCCTTTCTTTTTCTATGGATTAAGGCAGCATCCAGTGGAACTCGAAAAAACGACTATCGTAATTCAATGTTATCGTTCTGTTCTTGGTATCTATCACTAGATTAATGATTCTTCATTTCACATCGAATATACAATAATGTGAAAATCTAAACTAAATAATTAATCATGATAGACTAGAAAATCAATCACAATGTTGCTTTCGGTGGAGTGTTCGACGATCTAGGCGGCCAACAAGAGCGAACTGGCCTCGAACCAATATGGATTGCGGGTAGACATGAGCGAACCACCCAAATTACTGATGACATTAGCAATCTAGCTTCCAAAATCGCTAGAGTGTCCAACGATCTAGAATTCACCCTAAACATGTGGTAGCTACCCAAATGTGTGTGGTAATTATTATTGTTGTTATTAAGGGTTGTTTTGGCTAGTTGAGGAGAGGGAACAGGACCCTTCAACTAAGGGCTCCCCTGACCTCCAACCATCAATTTTGGGTTTTCAAAATGTTGGTAACAAACAAAATCAGTCTTTGTCTGAGGGTTGTGACAATTATGTATGTACTACCAAGTGGAATTTGCTGGAAGTTTTGTACACAGAACCTTGTAAATAATTTGATTGCATATCTTTTATGGGTGTTGATTAAGATGATTGTTTGTGATTGGAATGATTGATCTTTGTCGAGTCTATAACTAATGATGTTTAATAGTATCTAATCTAAATGAGATTTCATTTTCATTAGCTTAACTGGTTTTTTCTCTATCGTTTATTACAACCCTACATCATTAGACCCTGTGCTGTCTTTTGACTAATAAGTTTAACAACCCCCAAATTCCCAGATTCCAAAGCACTTAGTTTTTCTTTTTCTCGAACAAGCTTTCAGAGCTCCGAGATGGCTCAATTTCTGCATTCCTAGCCTAGGTGACCAAGTTGCAGCATGTGCAGCAGCCCCAATTTTTCTTGGCATTCACTTAACTAATGGGGAAAGCTAAACAATGACTAAGTTGGATAATCCCACATTCAAAAGATTGATTAGGAAGTAAAGAATACACAAATTTATGTGGTTTACTAACATAATTTGTGTTAGCTAATTTACGAGTATGAGACACCAATTTCACCATATTTTAGGAGATACAGATTACAAAGAAATGAGAAGATATATATAACACCTCCATGTTGCTTCCAGTTGACGATGGATAGTCTGCTTCATATTATAGTAACCGCGTATGAAAAAGAAAATGAGTGATAAATGTTTAAAATAGCCATGGCGAAAGTGATGGAGATATATAGGATATTTTTTTTGGTTTTGGTACATAATCCTGATAGAGTAAGGAGATGGGACAGATCTGAAGGAAAGTGACACAAATAGATGAGGGAAAGTGACCCTTTTAAATGCAAAAATCATTCTCCCAAAATTAAATGTGACAGAAGAATTTTGGGGATGGGTATGTCTTTTGAGTGTTGGGAGATAAATTTGATTTGTGGTGAAGGTTGTACATCTCTCTTTGGTTGTATTATTGTCCTCGTTAAGATAAAAGTATGACAAAATACGCGCGTAAAGGTAAAATTCATCAAAGAAGTTAATGTATGACGCAAATAATGAATAGGTAGAGGAATAACGTGTCAATTGGGTTGATGATAAACTATATTACAATTGAAAAGAATTTTTTCGGAGAACAATTGTCTAAATTATTCATGTCCCAAACACAATGAAAGTTCTGATAAATCGTTCAAAAACTCATCTCCAATAATCGAACTTCCACCCAAAAATTTTGTAAAAAACTGTCTCATGAAACTCCCCTCGTTTACACTTGCCCCCTTCTTCTTCTTCAATGGAAGTGGGGGAAGTAGCATGATATACTAAAGTGCCCATTAATGCAAACTCAATCTCACCCTTTCTTTTTCAAAATCTATCGAATAACGAATTATTATTTATTGTTACCAGAACTTAGTATCTAATATTGCGATTGTTTCCACTCACCCATATAGCTGAAAATTTTCGGAAAATGATTTAGAAAACTCAATTTTACCCAATCCAACTGACAAATATGTATCACTCTTTTCTTATATTCAGATATTAGTGTGGATCCAAAAGTGGGCATGAAGAAGTTGATTTGGCCTCCTCATCTCCATTGGTGCAATTGCATTTGTGATATTTTTTTTTTTACACTAACACTATTTTTGCAAGCCAACTTATTTGACTTTTATTGTACCTACATTAGTGCAATTAACTTGCAATTGCATATAAAAATAAATAGCTCTTTCTCAAATATATTTGGGTATTTAAATAACATTAAAAAAAAGAAAAAAAAGAACAAACGCCCCCACTACTAATCTATGTGGTATTGCAATTAGACTTTCATATTATGAAAGCTTGCATAATCCTATGTGGCACTCAATATGCCATTGCAAAAAGGATTGCATTAATGCAGTGGCCACTTGCAAAGATGCAAGCTTGCATTAAATGAAATTGAAGATGCAAGTCACATAAAAAAAATAGAAAAAATTAAAAATTAATTTTCTCTCTTGATTTTTTTTATTTATTATAAAGTCATTTAAACTCTCATATATGCAATTGCAAGTGAATTGCATTGATGTAGGTGCAATGAAATAAAAATTAGTTGGATTGCATAAAATTTAAAAAATTAGAGCATCCACATTGGTATTGCATTCTCAATTGCAAAATGACATGGCATAGGTGTTTGCAATTGCAAAACCAATTGCATATTTGCAAGCTTGCAACAAATGCAATTCCATATGCAAGTCAAAAAAGCCTACAAAAATGGGAATTTTTTATTTTATATTATTTTCTTTTCAGTTTAGAGAGAGAAACGTAGAGAGAGGTGCGTGATTCCGGTGAGCAAGGTTTCCGATCCCTGAGCTTGCTGCCAGCTCCGGCACCTGCGCCGGAGCAGCTCTCTTTCCCCTCTCTTGCTTTTCTTATGAGTGAGGTGAGTGCTGCGATTGCTGATTCTGCTTCAGAGGCGCCAAATGGTGACAATCGGGGGATTCCTTCGAAACCCTGGGCGGCGCTATTTGGTATCTCTGAGGCCAATCGCTTGACATATATTCCTCCAGAGGTTGTTAATGGCGGGCTGCGAATGCCTCGAGCTGTACGTGATGCGGGAGCGGCTCGTTGGAAAAATAGTCTCGTCGGGCAATTTCTTCAGGATCCGCCTCCGCTGTATGTGCTTCGTCGCTGGGCAAATAAACTCTGGGGACGCGATGGTCAGGTGCGAGTCTCTCTGCTTTACGATCGGATGTTGTTGATACAGTTACCAAATCAGAAGGTTTGTGAATGGATTTTGGAAAATGGTCCGTGGTTTCACTTCAATAATCTTCTGTATCTGCGTCCATGGACTCCGGGGATTAGTTTTGAGGATCTAGGTCGGAAGGCTCTGCCGATTTGGGTGCATCTTGCGAACGTTCCCTTGGAATATAATGATTATCAGGGTTTGAGTCGAATTGCTAGTTGGATTGGGGTACCATTGGGCGTAGATCATACAACAAGAATGGGTGATAGACATGGGTTTGCCAAAGTGTTAGTGGAGCTTACAGTGGATAGTGCTTGTCCTGATCATGTGCTACTGTGGCCAGATGATGATTCCTCATTGAGGATTGGTATTACTTACTGCAATCTGCCTCCAATCTGTCCTAAATGTCGTCTGTTTGGTATAATTGGGGATTGTATTGCGCATCAGGGCCATCAGCAAAGTCAACAGTGGGTTCCTAGTCGTGAGTCTCGAACAGTTGGGCAGATCAACTCCATTCCTGCCAAGGTACTTAGTGATAACGAAGCCGCTCCAGTGGTGTTGCAGGAAAAGACGGTGGGAAATGGAAAGGGTAAGGAAGTGGTGATTTATGATGCTGATCCACAATTGAGTGCTATGATTCCTGAGCTTGCAGTAACAGGGACTAGTCCGACCCCTCTCAACTTGGAAAAGTCGTTTCAGGCTGTGGCTAGCTCACCAAAACTTCCTACTGAGGATGAGTTTCAGAAGGTGGTGAATGGAGCTAAGCCTCGTGTCTGGTCTCCTCCACCAAGCCCTCAGCTTCAGACAACATCAGCATTTACAATACTCAGTAAGTTGGATGAAAATAGTACGACAAAGGTTCTGGATGCTCCAAGAAAAAAGGAGGGTAAGAAGGAGGTTAGGAAGGGTGGGGGGAAACCCTCTTCTTCCAAATGATTATCTTATTTTGGAATGTGCGGGGGTTTAACAAAACCTCCAAGCAACGGGACTTGATGCAAGTCCTGCGTAGAAATAAAGTGGATGTTGTGGCGGTGTTAGAAACTAGAATTCAAAAAGAGAAGGCTGATAAGGCAGTGGAAGAAGTGTTTCAAGGGTGGGAGAGGTGTTTGAATTTTGTTGATTCTGCTCTAGGGCGTGTGTGGTTGTTTTGGGATCCAGCTATCAAACTCAGGGTACTCAAGCCGGGCAAAAATTATGTCCATTGTCTGGTGGAAGATGTAGATAAGAGAAGTTTCTTTTTGACTGCAGTGTATGCTGCAAATGATGAAGTAGAGCGTAAAGCAACGTATGCTGAGATTGCACGGGTCAGAGTTGATGGTTATCCTTGGATTGTGGGAGGGGACTTCAATACAGTAAGAGGGCCGGGTGAAACTTCAAATCTTTCTAGTGTAACTCAAAGTATGAGCGATTTTAATGACTGGATAGAGGAAATGGAGTTGCTGGATTATCGAATGACGGGGCCACAGTTTACTTGGACTAATAGGCAACTAAATAATCCTATTGCTAAGAAGCTGGATAGGGCTCTGGTCAATGTTAAATGGATAGAAACGTATAAGGACTGTGCAATGGAGGTGTTTCCTGCTGGTTTCACTGATCATTGTGGGGTTCAAGTATGTACTGCTGCTACTGTTACTTCTTACCCAAAGCCCTTCAAATATTTTGAGTTTTGGGCAGAGCACCCTTTGTTTTTAGATGTGGTAGAGGCTGCCTGGGCAGTTGAGGTTGAGGGAACCCCAATGCAGATAGTACAGGGCAAGTTGAAAGAGGTTAAAAAAGCTTTAAGGAAGTTCAATAAGGAGATATATG